GGAAAAGAAGAGCATGGCTCTAGACGGGCCAGTTTCTGATGCATGTAGCATGCCTTTGTGTACAGCATGGGTCAAGAAGTAGGACAATTGGGGTCAAGCAGGTATGGAAGCCTTGCAAATATATGACCTGAAATGGAGCACTGAGACAGTGAGAATAGAGACCATGAGTTATGTAAATGTGATAATAATAAGAATTAATTGTTTTTCAAAAGCAAAAAGAGCAGATGTGTAGGCAGGGGACAAAAGGGTGACTGTGCTTTTATGCATCTCCCATGTGGGGACTGCAGGTGATAAACCATGATCCAATTCAAGGAACAATAAGTGAGAACAAATTGGTTCACAAAATGAACAATGCTCCATAATAATCAAAGGAAGAAATTAAAAATAAACAATATATAACTTCCTTCTCCTCTAAAATCTTGCAGTCTTGACTGAATCGAACAGGCTGGGTTGCTAGGATGACTAAACACACAGGGAAAAGAGAGCTGGCATTCATCTCATAGTAGTTATAGTCAAGTGCAATTCAATAAGTCATCTAAAAAATAACAGGGAAGGAAGACTGAAGAGGAAGCCGTTCTGATTATATATATCTAAGAATTTTCCAAAGAAGAAAACCTAGTAAAAGCTAGTATAGCCGGTAATGGTGAAAATCTACTTGACAAAAGAAACAGCTGTGAAGAAAATTCCCTGGGCCTATTTATTTTTGACATTAAAAAAATTTATTGTAAAGGTGAAGCTTAGAGAAGTTACAGTTATGCAAGGAAGGTAATGAGCACATTTCTTTTAGAACAGTGTAATCCCCTTCCTCTATTTCTCCCATGTTTACTGACCCCTTTCCCTTGACTGTGGCTTGGTGGTAGTATGCTTGCCTAGCATGCGTGAGGCCCTGGTTTCAAATCCTTAGTACAACATAAACAAAAAAAATCTTGTAATTTAAAAAAAAAGAAAGGAAAAAAGTGTACATTTATGCCCTATGTCCTCATGGGCAGTCATCTGGGTGACTGGGAATCTTCCAGTGCCAGTGGAGATGCCTGTTCTATCCTGAGTTCTGGAAATCCTGTGTCAGGCCATTGGGACTATTCCCAATTCCCAACGTAATCTTCCTACTGAAGGAGCCTCAGCATTAGAATAGATTGTGAAGACCCCCAAATGCTGTCTCTTCATGTACGTGACCAGTAGTGTGGGACACTGGCTGCTCCAGGAGGTTGTAAGGTCTGAGAGAGGGGCAGTATCTTACATTACAATGAATGGATGCGAAAGACATTTACATTCTTATGAATTTTCTGCAAAGAATATGATGTTAAGAATATAAACAAAATGATCAAATCTGGAAGTTGGTAATATCCATAGAGATGATAAACATCCAATTTACAGATTGCTTATTTTTGAAATGAATATCCAAGTGTGAATGATGGTTAATCCCATTAACCAAGGAGGTTCTCCCAAACAGTGGGTTCCACTGAGATTTCATGAACTCAGTTATTCAGATAGTCGATCACTTGAGCCAACAGTGGTGGATATGAAAGGTCAGAAATTGCACTACTAATTCTGGATTCCTTTCCTTTGTCATGCTGAAGGAGTCATGAGAGAAGAAAACCAGTCTGCTACCACAGAGTTCATCCTCCTGGGAGTGACTGGACAGCAGGAACAAGAAGACATCTTCTTCATCCTCTTCCTGCTCATTTACCCCATCACACTGATAGGAAACATGCTCATCATCCTGGCCATTCTCTCTGATGTTCGCCTCCACAATCCCATGTACTTCTTCCTTGCCAACCTCTCTCTGGTTGACATCTTCTTCTCATCTGTCACCATCCCCAAGATGCTGGTCAACCATCTCTTGGGTAACAGAGCCATTTCCTTTGCTGGATGTTTCACACAGATGGATTTCATGATATTCTTGGCTAACACAGACAGCTATATCCTGGCTGTGATGGCAGTAGATCGAGCTGTGGCTATCAGCCGCCCTCTTCATTATACAATGATTATGAGACCCCGTTCTTGTGTCCTGATGCTTGTTGCATCTTGGGCAGTTGCAATAATCAATTCCATTCCTCATGCTGTATTTACAGCTAGTCTTTCTTTCTGTGAAAACAGGGAAGTGGACAACTTCTACTGTGACATTGCTGCTTTGATCAAGCTGGCCTGCTCTGACAACCACTTGAATGTGAAGATGTTGCACCTTGGAGCTAGTATTTTCTCATTGCCCTTTCTGTGTATCATTATCTCCTATGTTCGGGTCTTTGCCACTGTCTTGCGGGTTCCATCCACTAAGGGCATACTCAAAGCCTTCTCCACCTGTGGCTCTCACCTCACTGTGGTTTCTTTGTATTATGGGACGGTCATGGGCATGTATTTACGGCCTCTGACCAGTTACAGCCGGAAGGATGCAGTGATTACTGTGATGTACACAGCAGTGACCCCAATGTTAAATCCTTTCACCTACAGTCTGAGAAACCGGGACATGAAGGCAGCTGTGGGGAAACTCTTTAGTAGAAGTTCTTCATCCCCACAGTGAGATCACACACACTCTGGTGGGGTCCAGGTTGGGAAGGACTTGGAGATCCAGGTCCAATACTACCTTCTACAGGATGCTGACTCACATATTAACAGCTTCAATGGATTGATTTACTTGTTTTCTCTTTATGATTATTTTTAAGTAGTTGTAGAAAAGAGTTTACATTTTAACAAGCAATAATAAATACAGATATTTTCATCAATGTCACACCTTCAACATTCTCACTCAATCCTGTCTTCTGCCCTCACTCTTCTTAATTTTGTACAATATATACTGAATTCTTTTTTTCTTGAATAACACTTTTTATTGTCAACATGATATACAGAGAGGTTACAGTTACCTAAGTAAGGTAATAAGTACATTTCTTGTCAAACTTGTTACCTAGTCCCTCATTTTTCTCCTACTTTCCCAACCCCAATCCCCCAAGTTATACAGGTAATTTCCAACATATTGTCTTGTGTATTGTGGTGTTGCATTAATTACTTTGTTCTTTGTCTCACGATTCTGTTGTTCCCCTACCCTTCCCTAATTCAAATAAATGTATATAAAATACCAGGGAACCAAAATCAAATACAGTGACAATGTAAGATACACCATAGAGAGAGAACATACAAAAGAAACAAGAAATCACATAGTATATTAACAACACCAACAACAATAACAAAGAAAAACTTCTTGTGTCCATGTCTTGAAGTTCATTTTGCTTAGCATTATCTTATATGGTCATATCTATGTAGCTATTGAGCTATTCTGCTCATCTGCTAAGATTATCCTAGATGTATACTAATTATTACAAATAAGGGAAACAATGGGGCCTATGTTTCTTTGGGTCTAATTTACTTTACTTAATATGATTTTTTTCCCAAGTCTTTCCATTTCCTTACAAATGGGGCAGTGTCATTCTTTCTGATGGAACTATAGAATTCCATTGTATGCACACATCACATTTTCTTTCTTTCTTTCTTTCTTATTTATTTATTTTTATTGTGAGAATACAGTACAGAGGAGTTACAATCACATGGGCAAGATAACGAGTACATTTCTTTTTTCTTCCTCTTTTTTTAATTTTTTATTGTGAAAATACTGTACAGAGGGGTTACAATTACAAGGGCAATATAAAGAGTACATTTCTTTTCTTTTTTTTTTGAGGTTAAAGACTCCTTTATTATTGAATTATACTGTAATGTCTACATTTACAATTAGTCAGGAAGAAATACTTTGCATTTACATCAAGAACACATTTACTCTACTGAAATAAAATAAACACCGACAAAGGACTGAGAACATGTTTTAAAAAGTGACTACATGTTTTACCTGGTCCTATTTTGCTATTTTGGACCATACTCTTTCTATTAGAGAACTGACTTTAAATACATATTAAGTCTGATTTATCTCCATATTTTTAAACATTAAATGGAGGTTATTTTTTTTACAATTCCTAATTATAAACAAAAGACCGAAAACAATATGGAAGAAAAAGTTTGAACAAAGGAAGTAAGAGCAGATGGCTATGATCTAATAGCAGAGTATAACATGGCCCCTCTATGGCTCATCTCAAAGAGACACTGTTACTCAGAGAGGTAGCACTTCAGACCTGTGTCTGAAGGACCAGACCCTATATGTATTTCTTGTCTCAACTGCAAAAAATAAGTGAAAATACCTACAAAATATCTAAAAGCTAAATATCAGATGGTGCTAATTCAAATTAAATTTATATGCTGGTCTAAATATACATATTTAAGCTTTGTTTTAAAAATTATCCTCTTATTTTGGACAATATTTAAAAATAGCTTACATTTTTAGTGTGCTGTATGGTCAGTAACTGTAAAGTTGTAACTTTAATGATTAAGTTTAAAATTTGTATGTTTTCCTTGATTTTACTGAAACTATAATTAAGACTTTACCTAATCAACATACATGAGGTAAGTTTAAGCTAAAAAAATCACAAAGATAAAGAGTTAACCACCAGAAGACTACACAAAATCATAATGCCCACACCTCATATTCAAAGTTTACAGCTTTTAAGTATCAACCACTGCTTATATGTAATTTAAAAGCAAATATTTTCTGCACCTTAAAATCAAATTATATTAAGAAATATGGGGGAAAATATCTTGGCAGAATTTAGTTTTGGTAACAGAAGACAATGCAACAATGAATCCAAATGGGACAAGACAGCAGTGTTTAAAGTTTCTAACTTCTAAACAAACACACCAACACACTTATTTGTCTAAAAAAATATTTTGGTAATAAATTTACAGAATAAATGTTTTGCTGTAAATAAAAAGTAAAAAATTCCAATTAGTTTATAGCTAGCCTTTTAAATCATGTACACCAAGCTAATAGTTCTCTGAGACACCTATTGTTGCCCTAAAAGATTCCTGCTAAAATCAAACTGTTAATACGTCTTACTGAAGTAGGACTTCCATGATGCTAGAAATCATTTAGAAAGGAAGATAGGGCTATATCACCACCATATTCATAAAAGTCACAGAGGAGATTATTGCTGTGCTTTTCTTTGTCAATACCATCAAATTTTGTTGCAGTTATAAAAAGTACAACCAGGTTACCTTTTCTCTTACTGAATTTCATGTTTCACAGGTCTGTAACATTTTTTATCCAGTAGAGAATTTTAGAATAGTTTCTGTAAGCATTCCAAGAATTTAAATGTGAGAGTAGTTTCACATTGTACTATCATGTTTTGCGCCCTTGTTTTTCAAGTACACCAAAGAAAATGTATGTTTCCCAAAAATGAAATATGATGTCCACATTAAAAAAATAAAGCCTACAAAAAGTTCCAGAGCTAAAAAAGATTATTCATATGGCACAATGTGATCTCCTACTAGTCCAAAGGTTTAAGTCTATTTATATACCTTGTTTACTTTTCAATGGAAAACTAAACTTCTTGAGGTGAAATCACATTATTTTTAGTTCTTCAGTCAACAAGCATACACAAATGTTTTTCTATATAGTTATTAAAAATAGGAGACCAAGTTGAACGTACCAAAGAGTACATTTCTTCTCAAGCATTGTAGCCTCCGTAGCCTCCTCCTTTGTTTCCCCTTCCTATCCTCCCCCCCCCCCCCCCCCCCGCCCCCAGCACCAAAGTTGTAAAGTTTGTTTTCGACATAAGGACTTGTACATCTCATTGTTGCAATGGGTCCACCTGTATCCCTATTTAAACGATTTGTTTTTCCCCTTTCCCTCAACAAATTATACAGTGAAAGCAGGGGTTATACCGTGGGGGAGGGACATACAAAGCAACAAAGAAATAATCTTATAAATATGTTAGAAACAATTGCATGAAAGAAAAAAAATTTGAATACATATCTTAGGGTTCATTTCCCTAACATCAACTTATCTGACCTTTTCTGCTTGACTCAGACATATACTAGATATTGCAAATAAGGAAAACCATGGCACCTATGTTTCTTTGGGCCTGGCTTACTTCACTTAATATAATTTTTTCCAAGCTTTTCCATTTAATGAGTACATTTCTTATCAAGCCTGTTGCCTCCTCTTTGTTTCCCCTTCCCATCCCTTCCCATATTCCCCCCCACCCAATTCTCCTCCCCACCCACCAAAGTTGTAAAGTTCATTTTTCGACATAACAACTTGTATATCTCATTGTTGCAATAGGTCCACCTCTATCCCTAGTTAAATGATTTTTTCCCCTTCCTCTCCACAAATTATACCAACATCAAATACAGTGAAAGCATGGGTTATATTGTGGGGGAGGGACGATCCATTCATCTACTGAGGGGCACGGGTTGGTGCATTTTAGCTATGGTGAATAATGCTGCAGTAAACATAGTTGTACTGGTAGCTTTAGTATGCCCTTGTTTGTGATCATTTGGGTAAATGCCCAGAAGTGGAATTTCTGGGTCATAGGGGAACTCTATATGTAGTCTTTTGAGGAATCTCCATACTGTTTTCCAGAGTGGTTGAACAAGTTTACACTCCCACCAATGGTGCAGTAATGTTTCCTTTTGGCCACATTCTCTCCAGCATCTGTTGTTATTAGCGTCTGTTCTTGATTGTAGCCATTCTAACTGGGGTGAGGTGGAATCTCAATGCTGTTTTTATTTGCATTTCTTTTATGACCAGAGGAGTTGAGCATTTCTTCATGTGTCTATTGTCCATTCTTATTTCCTCTTCAGAGAAGTCTCTAAGTCTTTAGCTCCCTTATTAAAGAGGTGGTTGTTTCTTTGAGGGTTGTTTTGGGGGACTTTAATATTTGGAGTTCTAAGCATATTTTAGATATGAGGCTCTCTGTTGTATGGCTTGTGAAGATCTTCTCCCAACCCATGAGCTTTCTATTAATCTTGCTAGCTATGTCATTTGCCATGCAAAAAGCTCTGCAGTTTCATGCAATCCCATTTTCCAAACTTTCTTTGAGTTGTGTTTCTGGGTCTTTATTAAGAAAGTTTCAGCCTGTGCCAAGGAGCCCTAGAGTTTCTTTTATTCCTTCCTGTAATGTTTTCAGAGTGTCTGCTTTTACCACAAGGTCTTTGATACATTTGGAGTTGATTCTGATGCAGGGTGAGATATATAAGGATGTAACTTTAGTTTTCTATAGGTGTTTAGCCAATTTTGCCAGCACCATTTACTGAAGTGGCTATGTTTCTACTACCCTATTTTTTTTTTTTTTTTGCTCCCTTACTGAAGTTTAGGTGGCTATAGGTCTGTGGTTTCATTTCTGGGTCTTCAGTTCTATTCCATTGGTCCTCAGGTCTGTTCTTGTGCCAATATCAAGCTGTTTTGATTACTTTGACTTTGTAATAGAATTTGAAGCTTGGTATTGGTATTCCTCCAGCACTGTTCTTTCTTCTAAGGATTGTTTTTGCCATTAGGGCATATTGTTCCATATGAAGTTTTGGATTGCTTCTTCTATTTCATTAAAGAATGAAGTTGGGATATTGATGGATATTGCACTGAATTTGTAGATAGCCTTTCCTTTTCATAATGTTAGTCCTCCCAATCCAGGAGACCAACTAGACTTAACAGACATCTTCAGAATAGTTCACCCAGCACCAGCAGAATACACATTCTTCTCAGTAGCACATGGAGCATTCTCCAAAATAGACCACATTTTAGGTCACAAAACAAATCTGTCCAAATTCAGAAACAATGAATTTATTCCCTGCATTCTCTCATACCATAAGGGGATAAAATTAGAACTCTACACCAAAAGCCACCAAAGAAAATCCTGTAACACATGGAGACTGAACAATACACTGTTGAACCACCAGCGGGTCATAGAAAAGATCAGAAAGGAAATTCAAATATTCATGATATTTAACAAAAATGAGCATACATAGTACCAGCTCCTATGGGACACAGCAAAGGCTCAGAGATCTGAAACCCACAATTTAAGGCACCTGAAGCTCCTTGAAAAGGAGTAACATGCCAAACCTCAATCCAGTAGATGGAAACAAATAAAATTAAATCAGAATTAAATGAGTTAGAGTCCAAACAACCATAGAAAGAATCAACAAAACAAAGAGTGGGTTCTTCAAAAAATTAACAAAATTGACAGACCCTTAGCAAATCTTATTAGAAAAAGAAGAGAACACACCAGATAAACAAACTCAGAGATGAGAATGAAAACATGACCACAGAAACAACCAAGATTCAGAACAGTATAAGGGAATACTCAAACCTTTATGCTAACAAATTTGAGAATCTGGAAGAAATGGAAGAATTTCCAGCAAATATTGACATGCCCAAACTAAACCAAGATTTAAACCAACTAAGCAGACCCATATCAAGCACTGAAATAGAAACAGCAATAAGAGGCCTCCCAGAAGACCAGATGGATTCACAGATGAATTCTGCAAGGCCTTCCAAGCAGAATTCACACCAATACTCTTCTAATTCTTCAATTAAATTGAAAATGAAAGTTCGCCAACAAACTCTTTCTATGAATCCAGCATAACCCTTACCCCCAAACCAGACAAGGACTCATCAAATAAAGAGAACTACAGACCCATTTCTTAGATGAACATTGATGCAAAACTTCTCAGCAAAATTCTGGACAATCCACTCCAACAATTTATCAAAAAAAATCATACACTATGATCAAGCAGGATTCAATTCAGAGATGCAAAGCTGGTTCAATATACACAAGTCAATTAATGTAATTCATCACATCAACAAGAGCAAGGATAAGAACCACATGATTACCTCAATAGACTAGAAAAAGCATTTGACAAGATCCAACAGCCTTTTATGATGAAAGCTCTGGAGAAACTAGGAATCCATGGGACATTCCTCAATATAATAAAGACTGTGTATGACAAACCTATGGCTAACATTATACTTAATGACAAAAAGCTAAAGCAATTTTCTCTAAATTCAGGAATGAGAAAAAGATGTCTGCCCTTTCCACTCCTCTTCAACTTAGTATTAGAATGCCTAGTGCAATAAGGCACAATGCAAACATAAAAAGGATACAAATAAGGAAAGATAAAGTAAAACGCTACTTCTTTGCAGATGACATGATCATTTAAAGAATCCTATTAACTCTACTCCCAAGTTGCTCAAGCTGATCTGAAACTTTGGCAAAGTCGCAGGGTATAAAATTAGCTCTCAAAAATCAATGGGTTTTTTGTATGCCAGTAAGAATAGCATGCTGAAAGCAGAAAAGCAACTCCATTTGTAATGGACTTCCCCCCCCCCCCCCACCAAATAAAATGCCTAGGAATTAACCAGAGAAGTGAAGGACCTCTATGATGAAAACTTTAAAAACCTGGAAAAGGAAATTAAAGCAGAACTAAAGAAGTGGGAAAACCTCCTATACTGAATTCTTGAATGCAATCTCCTACTCTTCTCCTCTTTATGAATCTACCAGTTTCTCTTTGACACCAGCCCACCCTACCCTGACTTACTTAACACAGTCTTTTCTAGTGTTTTCCATTTCTTTACAAATGGTACAATAAAACTCTAATGGGTGAGTAAAATTCCAAAGATTACAGTTATGTACCACCAGTGCTTGGCTGACATTTTAGTCTTAGAATTTGCAAAATATGGAAGGTTGCTCTCAGAATGTTGAAGTAAATAAAGTGTACACTCAAGCCCTCCTAAAGTCAATCCTAGCTTTAACATACTCTAAGTGAGATGAAGACTCAGGCACAGTCAGGAAGAAATACCACAAAGCAAAGTAACTATACCATAATCCTTGCAACTCCCCAGGCAGGGTGCTCAGTTGGTGCTGAGCAACAGGGAAGAGGAGATTGCATCCCAACCAAGTGGCTGGAATAGGTCAGCCCAGAGCCTGTACTCGGGGAACACATGCCAGGTAACTCAGGCTCCTCTTGAGACCCACTATGTCCGCATAGAGCATAGCAGGATTAATTTCCATGAGTTTCAACAATTAGTGTGTCTTTGACCTGAATGAAAATCCTGGGAGACTCAGGGTTCCACAGACTTTATAACCCATTAACTAATTCCCCATCTTGTTCATACTATGACATGACAGCTTCTCAGAGATGGATGCTACACTCTTTGTCTTTAGGCTTCCTCCAGGAGAACTCTTTCTGCCCCTCCTGTTTTGGGTCAGAATCTGGTGACCTTCCTGCTTTCTCCACCTTAGCCACAGAGCACCAGGATGTGGCCTCCCAGCTGATCTGTCCCCCAGAATTAATGCTAGGCAGTGCTAGACTCAGCTGAACAACCGAGCCGACTCCCCAGGTAGGGCTGTCAATGTTGGAAACAGTTTTCATGACAGCAACAGCAATCAGTAAGAACATCTGCCAACTCCTTCCCTTGACCATCACTAGGCCCTAGGAGGTGAGTAGAATGATTGTGTCTTTGAACAGATGTGGTTTATCTGGAGAAATGAACTGACTGCAATCACACAGAGAGGTGGTAGTAAAAGCAGGATACAGATGTCTGCCTGACTCCAGCACCAGAGTCCTGAAGATACAGTGGACAGAAGGCAGAGTGAGAGGATCCCACCCTGACCATGTTCCTCCTGGGGCTTTGTCCATGAACACAGAGTGGAAGAGGACAGTGGTGACTCAGTTGTTCCTTCTGTCTTTGGCTCATCTTCATTCGGAAGCAATACTGTGTGTGGGGACCATGTGCTGCGAATGCATGTGTGTGTGTGTGTGTGTGTGTGTGTGTGTGTGTGTGTGTGTGTGTGTACATTCACACATACACACATTGACAAGTGGGCAAAGACATGGTCTTAGGCAGAACTACAAAGGCATTGCCCACTCTCGTATTGCATGGAACCTGGCAGTGGGCCCTTCTTTGTCAGGGACTAGCTGTGGATCCAGCAGATGAATCTGAGAACACTCAAAAGATGGGGTTTTTACCAGGTCTGTTGAGCTAGGATAACAAGGGAAAGCACGTGGCCTTATTGATCTCTGAAAAGCTTCCCACAACATCATCACCCTCATGTCCTTGATACCTCAGGCTACAAATTATTCCAAGGAAACTAGGTGTTAATGGCTGGCCCTATGTGAGATGCTGACCTCCTTCCAGTGAGTTCAGGACACTGACTATGTCTCCTATATTCACATTGATGCGCCTCTTGGCTCCTTTTCCTGGGCTCTAATGATCACTTTGTGTCTTCCCAGGGGTTCTGGACACATTATCCACCCTATGGCCATGTTCTAATATCTAGCACTGTGTGTCTCCATCCTGAAGTCCCTCTGCTCAGAATTCCTTCTCCTTGGGTTCCCTGGTTCTTTTGGTCCTGCATTGGCCATATCAACTTTTCCTCTTTTTCTGGTGCAACTTTTCCTTTCATACTTACACTCTAGTTTTTATGACTGATTTCTGGCAATGCTTGTGAGATACTAGCTCAAAATGTTGCTTCATTTATCAATCACATAATGACTTTGCTCAAATACCTTCATTCACATTAAAGGGCCCAAAGCCTCTACTATCAGGTAGCACATTCCACCTCTACATTACTTTTTGTTGCCTCTTAATAATCCAGTCCGAAATCCTTGGCGTAGGTCAAAACCTTCCACAAAACAGAATCCAATTTTCTTGTCCAGATGATTTTCCTGTTCTCTGTCCTGGCTTCTATCCTCAGTCCCTGATAAGTATGAGTAATACAATGTTGCCTGAAGTCACACTTCAATGTCTGAACTTTAGAACCTGGAAGTTTTTTTTCTAATATGTAAATTGGACTTTGACTTTAATTGTTAGGTAGGAATACAAGTGATTTTCAGGTATTAGAAACATTCACGTCTGCCTTAAAAATATATTTCTTGTTTGGTGCCGGTGGCTCATAACTTTATTCTTATCTACTCAGGAGGCTAAGATAAGTCCAAGAGACCCTTATTTCCAATTAAGCACCAAAAAAGTTGGAAGTATAACTGTGACTCAAGTGGTAGAGCCCTATTAGCCTTAAGCAAAGAAAGCTCAGGGACAGTGCCCAGGTCCTGAGTTCAAGCCCCAGGATTGGTAGAACAGCAACAACTTTATATATTTCAGCCATCCCAACAAGCCAGGTCCATGAAGAAAGAAAAGTTACAAGTGTGACAAGACAGAAGATGACATATTGAATAAAGAGGGTAGAAGCATTGCACACTCCATGGGAAAGAGCTGATGTTATGTGGATCTTGAAAAGGGAAAATAGTATAACTAAAGGATTTGATGGAGAAAATGACTGAGAAAAGAAGGAATGAAAAGAGGAGACACCTGCACATAGACATATCTTTCTCCTCTCTGAATCTTTCTTGTCATGAGAATTAGAAATGACCCTTGGATCATACCCAGGATAAGCAAACCCATTTGATTTGCATTCTCCTCACAGAGAAATCCCTCTCTGTCTCTGTCTGTCTTACCTTTATAGTGAAATATGGGCTGAGCCAGTTTTATGGCCACACTAGGAGCCACATTTTCACCAAATAGGTGACATCTTTATTTTAAATCACCTTTATTATGATACTATTTAAATATTAGGAGAATGTAGAGAATAACACAATACAAACCAACTCTCTGGATATAATAGAGTAGTTGTTCTTAGTTCTATTAAAAAAAAAACTTTGCAGTTACACTTGAAATTCTTATTTGTTTCTACCCCAAATCTTATTTTTCTTCCTTTTACTCCCAAGATAGCCTATGTTCAGTGATTGTGAGGATATTCCCATCCAGTGTTTGCACTTTCTTGTATACAAATAAATTCCTTTGTGTATGTGCCTCTGGGTGTGTGTGTGTGTGTGTATGTGTGTGTGTGTGTGTGTGTGTGTGTGTGTGTGTGTGTGTGTGTGTGTGTGTGTGTGTCCTGGTTCTTGAACTCAAAGCCTGGATGCTGTCCCTGAGCTTCTTTGATCAAGGTTAGTGCTCTACCACCTGAAGGATAGCATCACTCACAGATTTTTTTGTGTGGGTTATTGGAGATGAGAGTTTCATATCCTTTTCTGCCCCGGATGGCTTCAGACCATGATCTTCAGCTGTCAGTAGCTCTCAGGGGTAGCTAGGATTACAGTTACAAGCATTGATCTTTCATCATTGGTTTTTGAGAAGACTGATTTCCATGTGTTTTAAAACTTTTATGTTCATCTGCTGTTCCTATGTGTTTTCATAGCTCCAGCTCTGAAATCTTTCTCTTCTGTGTCACATGAGCTAAACATAGTCTCTAGGCCATCTAGATTTATTGACTGCTTTAACTCCTGGAGTATTATGATTCTGTATGAAGGAGAATGACACATGAAGGTTTTAGACATACTGATTTAGATTCAGCAATGGGAGAGTACAACATAATGGGATATGATAGATTTATATCCTCTCATGTTTATTGTGTTAATTTACATGTGCTGCAGAAATATTGAGAGCTCTGATTGAATTAATAATAGAATGAATTATATTTGAGTAGTAATAATTAATCCTGAAAAAATTATTGAATTACCTAACCATATTTCAGATCACTGTATTAAATTTATGATAGACTGTGAAAATGACTTAGACTGAAAAATTACTCAGAATGACTTGGAATGAAAGCACTCTAAGTGAGTGTTTCCTGATGGTGAGCAGTCCTCCTGTAGGCGGGGACAACACATGAACCTTCATGTCTCCATGTTGTTCCATCCTCCCAACAAGGTTCCTGAATATTTGCACACAGTGGAAGACTTGCAGAACTAGAATATATAAGTGGATGGATTGGAACACAGTCACAGAAGCCTATTCACTGAAAGAGGGCCTGGGAAATGTAGTCTTTTTCAGTATCCAAAAAAAAAGAGAAGAGCTGGGGTTTGGGCAAGCTACTAGCTTCTGCCACAAGTAGCGTGCCTGAGTGTACAACATGGGTCGAGAAGGGGCAACTGGGGTGTAGCAGTTATGGAAGCTTTACCACTACATGGCCTGAAATAGAGCACTGAGATAGTGAAAGGAGAGACCATGAGTTATGTGATGATGATAATAATAATAATATAATTGTTGTTGTTGTTGGTCATGAGGCTTGAATACTGGGTCTGTGTGCTGTCCTTCAGCTCAAGGCTAAGGCTCACCACTTGAGCCACAGCACCACTCTGGCTTTTTCTGTTTGTGTGGTGCTGAAGAATCGAACCCAGGGCTTCATGCATGCTAGGCAAGCACTCTGCCACTGAGCCCGCTTCCCAGACCAATTATTATTATTATCATTATCTTAATGCAAGGAGAAGCCAGTTGCCGGTGCCTCATGCTTGCATCCTAGCTACTCAGGTGGCTGAGATCTGAGGATCATGATTTGAAATCAGCCCAGGCAGAAAAGTCTGTGTCATTCTTATCTCCAATAAACCAATAGATAGAGCAGTGTGGCTCAAGAGGTAGAGCAGTAGCATTGAACATAGAGTCTTGGGGACAGTGCCCAGTCCCTGAGTTCAAGATTCAGGACCAGCAAAAACAATAAATAAATACACAACAAAAAAAAATCAAGAAGAGAAAATGTACAGACAGGGGACAAATATGGTGAATGTGCTGTGTGCATTCCCTATGTGGGGACTGCAAGAAATAAACCAGGATTTAACTCAAGGAACAATGAGTGAGGATGAATTGGTTCATGAAATGAACATTGCTCCATAATAATCACAAAAAGTAATTAAAATACACAATATATACCTTTCGTGTCCTCTAAAATCTTGCAATCATAACTGAATGTGAACAGGCTGCGTTGCCAGGATGACTAAACACACAGGGAAAAAAACATTCTATTTAAATAGAGCCAGTGGTTTTCTCACAGTAGTTGTAGCCAAGTGCAATTCAATTACTCATCTAAAGAATGAGAGCAAGAAGAGAAAAGTCTAAAGATTTTCCAGTGGCTAAAGCCTACAAAATCTAAATCTACTAAAACCTACTAAATCAACTTGGCAAATGGGACAGCTGTGGGCCTATTTTGGTAGAACTTAAATGCAGTCATCTGGGTGACTGGGAATCTTCCAGTGCCAGTGGAGATGCCTGTTCTATCCTGAGTTCTGGAAATCCTGTGTCAGGCCATTGGGACTATTCTTAATTCCCAAATTAATCTTCCTACTGAAGGAGCCTCAGCACTAGAATAGATTGTGAAAACTCCAAAATGCTGTCTCTTCATGTACATGACCAGTAGTGTGGGACACTGGCTGCTTCAGGAGGTTGTAAGGTCTGAGAGAGCAGCAATAATGTACATCACAATGAATGGATGCGAAAAGCATTTGCATACTTATCAATTTTCTGCAAAGAATATGATATTAAGAATATGAGCAAAAGGATCAAATCTGAGACATTTACCTGGTAGTATCCACGGGGAGGATAAATAGGAGCACATTCAATCTGCAGATTGCTCATGTTAGAAATGAGTGTCCACGTGGGAATGATGGTTAA